CGTTTTACGCTTTTAATGCCCCTCAATGCAAACCAATTGAAATCAATGCGATTCTCTTTTCTTTAAACATCCGCGACAGGACTGCCTATTGTCGCGGATTGAAATAATTGAGAACGATTGGAAACTTGTTATGGACGCAGTAATTCTAGATTTCTATACCTCTTTGTTATTCTCTTGTATTACTTGCAACGTTTGAGTTCAATAACGTCTCGCATCTCATAATTGTAAAACCATCCAGAAACCATCAATTTTTATATATTTTTATATTTTATGTCTTTATTATATATTTCTATATCTTTATGTATACAAAGAGTAGTTCTAGATCTTCATACTTTTTCTCGCACCTCATAACTAAGTTGTGGATGTTTATGTAAAATTATATTTTTATCAGAATGATTAAAAAAGATGAAACATGAATATAACGTATGCTTAAAATCGAAATATTAAGCCAAACACTTAAGTGCGAAAAAAGTATGGAAGATTTAAACTATAAAAATATTTCTTAAAGTATATAGTTAATTATACATTAAATATAATAGCTTTTTATGGAATACATACAAAAAAACTTTATTTATTCGCATTAGGACTTCATTTTATTTCAATCACGTTAAAAAAATAAAAATATCGTTTTGTTCGTTACATAGTCTTTCGTTCTCGACTCGCGTTTATTTCTAATTATAGCGTACGCTGTTGTGATCAATTATTCTCTCATAAAATTTCAGCAGAAAAAGTTAAAGCAAAAAATAGAAATATCCCTACGATAAAAGGTCGAGTATAGAAAGAAGGAGGAAAAACATTGATCCTCATCGAAATTTATACATTTAGAATGAACTTAAATCTAGAATCTAAGGAATCCATTCGACTTCGTTCGTTTCGTAATTCCTCGTAATGGCTGCTCTGGTGTTCGCCTCAGGTTTGCTAGTACTTTTCTCTTCACTTCCGGACAATTTATGGTATACTTTGCTTCCTGCACTGGCCACCCATTGGACGCCATCGCCGATTTTTTCTCCAGCTTTACGAACCACGTTTCCAAGGTTCTCAGCTGTAAAAGTATTCGGATCCACGTTGATGTCCAGACTATTGTTGCCGCGAGGACATCCAGATTGAGAGATGATGCTCAAATCAAAAGGATCCACACCGGACTGGGCCAAAAATTGGCGTATCTCGTCCACATAACTCTTGTCTAATTCTCGGTGCCTGGAGAGGATCGTCGCACTTTGACGATGAGCGAACGTCAGCTTCTGGCATGTAAAGATACCAGCGTAGTTCACGTAATCTGTAGCGAATACTACGTGAGACGCACTTCCGGCTACACCTTTAAGTAAGTTAAATTGCTGGTTAGTGTGAGTAATTGGACAATTCGTTAGGGGGAAGTTGATAGCGGAGCCAAACACTGACGTGTTTGATGAAGTAATACTATGATATTTCATTTCACATATAGTATACAATATTTTATTTACATATAGTTTTAGTGTAGTACCATGCCGCTATATACAAGGTGTTCCGGCAATTGTAGTACAAGTCTTGCTTTCAAGTAAACAAAATTCGAAGATCTTTTGTTGACAACTAGATTTAGTACACGCGCATGATAAATTTCCAAATTTACTTCCTTCGAGAACAAAGTCTCTTACGAAAAAATTGTATTCTACATTTTTTACTTATTTTCACGTATAGAACAACCTCTTGTCGGTTGTTTACTTTTGTTCAAGCCAGAATTAGTCAAATTCAAGTACTTCTTGAAAACGAAGCGTCGTATGAAACAATTTTATTCTATATTCCTAACTTGTTTTTTCATACAGAATCAGACTATTGTTGACACGATTGCCGTAATATCCTGTGTATTTAATTGTATATATCTTGTTATTCCATTATTTGTTTAAAAGAATGCTTGATCAACTCATGTAAGAATATATAAGAGAGTTTATCTCACACATTCAAATCCAAAAAAATTCAATAAAAATCTCAAACGATTTCAGACCAGTTAACACCGCATATCAAGTTACCAAAGGCTAAAACCATAAAACTGAACTCAGCAATGGCACTACTTTACCATGACTCAGATTCTCCTTAAATCCTTCTGGAACGACGAAGATATATATATTTCGTGGAACATGATCATGATACTTACTAAGAGGAAAACGAACTAGCATTCGTGCCGGCGTACTCGGCTCCGGAACGCTCAATTCACCGGTGTAATGATACTCGTGCTTCAATGGCGTAAGACCTGTACATAGAGACGTCGTTTCATTACGGATAATTCATCCCACTTGCCAGACAGTTATCCTATTGACATGCTTTTATGGGTCCTGATGGGATCCGACGTTCACCTTCTTTATTAATTCAAAAGCTTTCAACAATATATACACACCCAACGCGTCATCTATAAGAGAAAATCTTGCCCTTTTCGAAAATTCGTCGTCGATTATTGTTACTATAGTTCATAATGTCAGATGCACCATTACAATCTCTATTATCCTTTGTGTCTCTACGAATCTTGTTTCAGAATTTTCTCCTTTCATTGTTCCTCTTTGAATTTTAGATTTCTTCAAATTCTGAACACTTTTTCTATCGTTAATCACTTCGTTCTCATTCGACTGCGAATGTATATGCATTTAGTGAAAATTTAAAGATGCAAAAGTACATAGAACGCAGGTAATGCCCAAGAATATCATAATATTATACTATTTAAATATGAAAAATATTTAGATTCAATGTCTTTAATTCTTCTTTAGTTCTTTAATTCTATTAATAATATATAATATTTACGTGAGGGGTCCTCAATTTATTGATCACCTGGATTTTCTTTTTCTTACCTAATATTGGATGATTGGAATCCTGCGTTATGACGTATTCGCCCGGTTCTTCTCCACGAGTATAGTTGTAAGTGATGCAATTGCTAGCAGTCGATGTTTTCTGGATTACGTACCACACACCTAAAAACTAAATTTGCTAAATTATTATAAACATATGACAGAATGAAGTTAAGAAAATTTATTATAGACGAAAATATAATTAACATACTTTGTTCATTTGAAATCCCGGCATGGGTGGCACGATGGGGCAAGCCCCCATGTGATATGTGTGTGGCCTAGCCAGGATAAAGCACCCCAGTAGGAATGTTAAAAAGAATAGGGTTTTCATCTGTGAAAGAAAATTTTTATATTAGAAAAAGCGGAAATGATAATTATAGTAGTGACCTTCTTATTATTAAAAATTTTAATTTTTATCAAATAACACTTCTAATTATCAGCTATATTTCTACATATCAGGAAAATCCCCGAGAAACAAATTATAATTATCCTAATTTACAGAGTCAGTGATTTAGTAAAGATATATCAATTATCAATAAATTTATCTACATAGTTTACAAAGTCAATGATTTCCCTATAGCAATATAGTTCACTTATATAAAATTATTTTTATCTTTATTTTAAGATAAATGTATACAGATATCTCATTTCGTAGAATAAGTCATAAATGATAGTTGTAACAGTAAACAAAGAAACTTAAGCTTAAATCGATTCATCGTATATAATTTAATAATACGACTCATTATCGGGGCTCTTGAACCTGAAACAAAGAGCAAAAACCATAGCACGTCCGGTAACGCTTGAATTTTCTATAGTGACAAAAAAAATATCACTAAGAGTAAAGACTAAGATCAACCTTGATGACCTCAGGGCTCAGTTCCAGAAACTATTTATCACAAGAGAAAAGTCATGTTTCTTTTATTATTCACGGTTGAAAGGAGAACGATATATATACTTCGCGCCACTACAGCGCTAATTAGCGTAAGACAAGATAGACAGGCATCAAGTCTTTGTTTGTAGAATTATAGATTTATATAACAAAGTAACAAGCCAAGAACCTCGATTCGCTTAATGCTATTCGTAGCACAGAGATATTTCTCCTTGAATGAAGAAAAGGAACTAAATTAATACCATTTTCCATATCTTAAATGCCTTACAAGATATTTAATAAAAATTAGCATTTTTAAAATGTATTTAATAAAATTTATCAATAAAAATTACTATAGCAAATACTATAATAGAGTACTCTGGAGCATATGAAAATATGAATCCTGTTTAAATATATCTACTCAAGTGGCGACTACCATTTATGGCATATTTAAATTGCAAACGCAAAGATAAATGCAGGTACAACGTACCTACTGATGTAAAACGTAACGCGTTTAATATGTTAAATTAAACGAGCATACTCACTGTTAGGTGACGTTGTCAAGTTCTGAACTGGTACTGTAAACAGTAGCTTCAGTGGAGGATTTTATGAGACATTCCCCACTCTCAATCCAATTATGGGTCACGCATACTTTGAACGGATTAAACACGTTGTTTCTAAAGAATCTGTAGAAGTACATCGATTTCTTTTGTTGCCTTTCGTAAATCTTTCCTTTTTTTCTTTTCCATTATACTACAATGTTGAATTATTAACAGAATTAGTACAGAACACAATATAATTAAGCCATCTTTGAACATTCTGAATCATTATTTTATAACTACACGGTGTCATTTTTATAGAAAAATGAAAACAACAGAATCGATATCTTTTTTTTAAATATAAAACATCATAAATATGCAATATCCTATGATGTTAAATTTATATTTATTTTAATAATAGGCTATTGTTTAATGATTTATTACATACAAAATATGAGATAAAATTTTCTACATCTTATACGTATCTTTTCTCACAAAAACCAGTTTGTTTATGTCCATTAAAAAAAGCTGAAGACACGGGTGCCACATAATTTCGCTATACCGCTGCTCGCGATGAGTCATCCTTGTTCGTAACTAAATCAAGTTAGTCGTTCTAGGAATTGCAAACATCACGTACAGTTTTATTCTTTTTATTTCTCTGTGTAATAACGTAACTTAATTTACATTATGAAATAAAAGAGAACTGAAAAATCACACTTACAATAAAATATAAATCCTGAAATTTCACGTTTAGATAAAATACATTTAAATTAAATGTAGTCATTTATTTCAGAATAAAAGTACAAATGATATATTTTCTTAATAAGCGTGTGAATTTCTCAGTGATACATATAATATGGCAACAGCGATATATTCTCAATTGAATTCTTAAGACCTAGTGTGCTATCTTCCTTAGAATACTTACAATGCTTACTCCGAATTGAGAAAAATAATTTTCTTATTCAATATATAATGCAATGATATTTAAGAACACTTGTGAAAGCACTTATTTTGGATGAAATGAATAAGTAATAAGTGAAGAAGAAAAATCTAAGGTAAATCCTAAAAATATACAATAATATCACCACACAGCTTCATCAATAACGTTACACAACTTTTATACAGCAAAAATGAATCATTCAAACATTAATCTCATACACAATATTTTTTGCTTGAGTATACAATGATTTATTATAACACCTATTAAAAATTTGTGATATTGTTCGAATATATTATAGCAAAACAAAAGTTCGTTACATAAATCTTGCATAATGTGAAATAATGAGTGAAGTCATAAAAAAAATTGTTAAATGCGTTCATACGTACGAATAAATTAACATTTCAATATACCCTGAGACATATTCTCTATGCAGTCACACAATTAAAACGTTACAGTATCTGTGTAGGATATATTCCATCCATTTATATCAGTCTTCGGTATTATAGCGATGGTATTTTCGACATATCTAAATCGTTGAAGTAAGAGTGTTTCAGAATAGCACGTGCAGATATTCTATGCACAGGATCATAGATAAGCATCATTTGTAGCAGATCAAGCCCGTCTGCGTCTAATGTTTTAACTTGTGATTCCAAATTGTTTGTTATCCAATTTGGAAATGTAGCTTTATAATCTGACAATTGTGTTACGCCAGGCCATATCTCTTCGGTAGGTGTCCTCAGTATCCTGCAAAATATCTGTTATTAATTTATATTCTATTAAATAGCAACCTAACGAGCAAACTAACATGCATACTCAACATACCGAAATATTCTAAACAACTGATCAATTTCACTATCTCCTTGAAATAATGGTTTTTTTGTTGCCATTTCAGCAAATATACAACCTATACTCCAGATATCAATGGCACATGAATATCTATTAGTACCAAGAAGGATTTCTGGTGCTCTGTACCATAAAGTGACTACTTCATGTGTATATACTCTGACTGGTATGCCAAAGGCTCTCCCAAGACCAAAATCTGCTACCTTAATCAATCCTGATTTGTCAATTAATAAATTTTGTGGCTTTAAATCACGATGCAATATTCTGCGCTTGTGACAGAAAAGAATAGCACGTGTAATCTATAAAAACAAATTAGAAACTTATTTCAATTTCCACAAAAGTATTATATAACATTTATTAATCCATATAAGTCTATGACCTATCTATTACTTGATTATATTAACAAAGTTATTTGACTTAATATGAATAATATCAAATATGACTTGCCTTAAATCATGATATAGCCTGTGTAATGGAGATTTTATTTTATATATTAGGAATATATTGAATACCTGAAATAAATAGGATTTAACCATTTTTGGCTCCATTAACTTTCCACTACCCAAAGTATCCATATATTTCTTTAAATCCATAGTAAGATATTCGAAAATTAAATATAATCTGGTCTCTTCCATCAGAACATCCATTAGTCTGACAATATTGGGATGTGGCAATTCTTTAAGCAAAGAGATCTCACGAATCGCTGTGGATGGTATTCCTTCATCGTCGCTTTCTAACCGAATCTTTTTCATTGCTACAATCTCTCCAGTTTTCTTATGCTTTCCCTTGTACACTACTCCATATGTACCTAAAAAAATTTTGTTTGCTGTAATACTACTCTTTCATTTTCACATAAAACAACAAAAATCACAACTTACATTACAAAAACAAAATATAAAAAATATACTCATAAGCAATTACTTTACAACTCGATTAGATTTCTTAATAACTACAACTTTTAAAATACTTACCTTTATTAAAAGGTTATTAAACCTCGATATGAAACACGAGTCTAAAATTTGCAAACTCAATAATCAATTACAATATAAATTACATTAAAGACTAGTTGTCTACATTTTTACATAGAGTTAGACGAAATATTTTTGGATAACGAATAAAAAGAATTCTTGAGCAAAAAATTAGTTAGAGAAGCCCAATTTACAAAGTACTATTCAAACCATTTACCTTCACCGATCTTTTCAATTTTCACGAAATTCTCCATGATAGATGCTGGTTATTAAATAGGAAACTGACAGATATATTCTTTCAAACGTTAATATTTACTATGACTTGAATATGTATCAGAAAGTTTCCACGTATACCGTCACGTAACGATTAAATTCAAACGTCGGTACGCCATGATATATACGTTTGAATGTGCAATGTTCGGTATGGTTCGTGACAAGTCGGCATTGCTTTGACCAATCCTGGCATAGATACGTCACAAGTTGCAATAGTAACGCGCTCATGGAAGTAAAGCGGTTGCCAGCTGTTGCTTGTAAGCCCGCGTTTTTCCCCTATCCGAATAAAAATCGTAATTATTAGACTGCAGATCTTTAAGCAATTTCATATTTTTATTAACATAACTAAAGGAATGGAGATAATATTTCTTATATATATTTTTGCATATTATGTGCATTTTGTACATCTTTGCACCTTTAAATTTCCCCATAAATGCATAAAAATCCACAGTCTAGTAATTAGAATCACGAAACAGATTATATTTTAAATGAATGACTTAACAATATTGAGTTTTAATGAATTTACATAGCGACAGATGTTTCTGGATCTAAATATTGAAGCGATTCGAAGTTAAGATCCAATACTTCGAATTTTAGAATCCTGAATCTTTCAAATTTGTATGACTCTTGAAAATTTTGATAGATTAAATAATTTTTTAAATTAATAACTTCGTCACACGAATTTTATATATTTCAGCCTGGAAGTCACGATATGTTGAAATATACTACGACATAGAATTAAAATTTTTACGAAATATTATATTATATTTGTGCATTTTCTTCCAAGTCAATCACATTGTCAAAAAGTTGTTACTCACACTACAAAAAATTTAGTAACGTGGGTCACCGACGATCTCCGTGGCGATCAACGTGTCAAAGGAAGATAAGAAGCTCGATTTTTATTCATAGTGTGTAACCTAATCTGCGTTAAATTGACTTTGGATCTAATTTATGATTTCAGTTATTAAAAAGAAAAGATTCTTAAAGTCATTTAAGAATGTTTATTTTAAGAAAAGAGAAAAAAACATGATTTGTGTCAATATACCTCTCATGTATTTGTACATACAGCATACAATGGGAAATTATATAAATTGGTGTTGCAAGCGCATTCGTAGCATAACAGGACTGCAGTCTTTCCCACTTTTTTTTCATGAACAAAAAATAAAAAATAATCATCATCGTCATCAAGTACAGAGTACTTTTCTCATCCACATCCTTAACAAATTTATTTTTCTTTCTTCAATGTTTACAATATAATTACACAACTACAACAAGATTGCTCGGATGTTTTATCTTATAAGCTTTGCAATTATTTTCTATATTTTCTATTTAAAACGACTTCGAAATAAAAACTGTTTCATAATTAACCTGATGAGATTGTCAAAATCAACAGGCAAAAAACTCGGTTGCACCTGTGCTGAGTGTTATCAATCCTATACTCAGTTTAAAAACGGTTCTCCATTCTATCGGGGGAATTGATAACCACCGGTTGCATAGCCAAGTCCAACACCACGCTGAGTGTGTGTTGTAGCACGTGCTACCTCATACTGTTGTTCCATATTATTAAACATTTCTTCCTGCTTTTTCAGTATATCTGGTTTAGTACCCGCTGCCGGAGTAGTCGGCAAATCATCTTTAATGCCCATCAATCGTTTAAACTTTGCCGTTACTTTCCCATCTTGGTCATGAGTGAACGTTGTTCCCACCCAGGTGTTTGCAGTAGAAGCTGCTGTAGATGTTTTTCCTTCATCTTGTTTTGACTGCAAATAATAATATTTCATTAAATTAAAAAGATTATATTTCAATGTGATTATCACAACGGAAAAATATAAGTATATTGTTTGTTTACAAAACAAACTGTTTATAAAACAAAATAAAAAATATAAGTACATTGTTTATTGTTGTACTTGGTTGTATTAGTGTACTTTGAAAAGTGTACTTTGCTATAACATAGTTACAAACGAAACTTTCTATTCGATCCAAAGATAATATAAGGTTTTTTTAGCAACAGATGACAAATCCGTGAAAATTTATGAGAAAACTAATAACACGCTTAATATTTTCAATATTATATGAAATCGATTTCAAGAGGACCCAATTTAACAAGAAAACAATTTTGATAATATACGATTGGTTGACAAAATATTGTATTTTAAAGTTGCTCTCATATGAAAACCAAAAAATATGATTTATCCTCCCTTTCCCCTGTGGTCTTCATATAAGATCGATTTAAAAAATCATCAATGATTACCTTATTTGCCCATAACAGTTTCCTCTTCTGTATCTGTTCCGCGTACTTTCCTTGCGTTGCCGTGGCTAAAGGATTATAATAATTCTGTTCGTTTTGAACACCGGGCGTAGCAGTATCACCTTCCGGTGCTTTAAGTTCAATTCCTAATTTCTCTAATTGAGCTAATTTGTTTCTGCCTTTTTCTTCCCTATAGCTCATCGTCCTAAAGGGCGGCGGAGCCCGGTCTCTCGATCTAGATCTCGATCTCGTGCGATCTTTTTCCTTATGATAATTCCCGAATCGATCGTCCCGATACCGATCTTTCGATCTGTCGTCTCTAGAATGCCGGCGATCTCGATCTCGATCTCTGTCCCTGTCCCTGCGTCTATCTCTGTCGCTTCTATCCCGGTTTCGATCTCTTCGATCATCGCGATAGTGATGATCTTTATCACTCTTTTCCCTGTCGTCACTCTTCTCGTCCCTACTCGATCCCAAAGAACTCTTTTCCTTCTTTTTATCATCGTCACGAGATTTTCTATCATCGTCCCGACTTTTCTTTATGTCTCTGTCCCTGTGGCTGCTTTCTCGTTGTCTTCTATCATCGTACGACGGCCGACGCCCCTTATCGCTCATATGTCTATTACGGTCAGATTTATCTCCTCGTTTGTGCTCGTCTTTCGAATTTGCTGTGTGATTCTCATGATCAGATCGCCTGTAAAACGATTACGTTCTGCAGGGTATACCACACAGATTCGTATTATTATTCTGTATGTAAGGCAAACATTATGGTGGTAATGTATGTTGCAAGTTTGTTTGTTTTTTGTCTCTTATAAAGTTCAAAGAATTTCATTAATTTAAGTTTAGAGATGAGAATACGCATATAAACAAACCAGCTTACCTCTGGTCTGAGGGGGAAGGTAATGTTCGGGATGAGTCTGTTTTTGATTGTGCAGCTGGACTATGTGCCCTTTCACTACTAGATTCCCTGGACGAATTGTTGTTGTTGCTTTCCTAAAGAAATAAAAATTATCCACGTTACTATACACCTTTCACATATTCTATTAAGCGAAACATAAATCTCAATTTACATTGCAAGAACTATAAGTATAAATCAAACATTCTTTTAGTACCCTCACAGTTTGGCAAAAATCAATTTTTCGCTTACTGCAATTTTGTAGTATAACTTCTCTAGCTTTCTAAACTGTAAGTTTATTCCTTTAAATTGAAAAATCTACAAAAAATAATTCACAAAATTTCAGTGTATGTAAAAATTGAATTTTGCAACAGTTATAATTACCAGGTAAAAATTACTACATCCTAATACTTTTGGTATTTAAAAACAGAGAGCACTCTTAAAACATAACTTTCACGAAAATAACATAGAAATCTTTATTCACTGTAAACTTTTTCCAGTCAAATTTCTGGTAGATGAACAGAATAAAAGGAATATGAGGGCCCTTCATATTTATCTGCTTTAGCAGGTACTTATATTACCCGAATATGTTTGTACATGTGGTTTCTTTGATGGTTGATTTTTTATTAGTGTTACCTTCTTCCAGCTTCCTCTACTCACCTCTGTCTTCTGAATAGGACTTGGGGTAGTCTTGAAAGACCCTCACACAGCATAGACCTTGCCGAGGTGCGTAGATATTGTATCATGTATTACCAACAGAGCTACGTGTTAATATTTTCTCACGAAATGGCACCATTCCCATTTACTTATTATTTAAATTTTAAATATCTCAATCTCTACCCTCATTGTTTCTGCCACGCGGTAAATCAGGCTTTAAGGTCATGTCTTAAACTTCTCAGAATTTTGTACATCATGAATTGTGTTTTGGTAATATTATTATAGCATATTAAAAGATGATATAAAAATAATAAAGGGTAAGAGTACATTGCATCATAGTGATATAATGTAAACCATATGATTTCACTATATTGATATTAAGTCCAAAAAAAATGTCATAATAAAAAGATTATCATTACATTATATATATCGTCTTATATCCTTCATTAGTATTTTTATAACAAATAATTAATCACAATTGTTTCAGTTCATACAAAACCACTATGAAACAATTTTTTTGCTAATTTTAATGCAAGGCTTTTTAATTTCCTTTGAATGTTTAATACAGAATACAGGTGCAATAGGAGTGCTATTGTGATATTGTATTTTATTTACATGGTTTTGACATGACCTCTAGAAACCAAGTATTGAACCATTTTTTTATATATATATCAGGCATGACCCTATACATATGTACAGCCCCCATAAAGATACCACATCTTCCTAGTAATTGTTGTAACATTTTGTACTTATTATCACAAACAAACATTTTCAAACATTCAATTCCACTGTACCTCACTCATGTCCATTTGTACTGGATCGTAGTTAGCGTCACTGGCCCTTTTATTGGTATCACCATGCATCCCATATGGTATCTTTAAAACACAATATTCAAGATAAACTGTCAAATGATTTACAAGGAACAAATATTTCATACATTGCAGACATTAATTAATATTAGACTAGTAATACTCCCATAATGAATATCTATAAGAACATCAACTGAAACTTTCATACTCTTAATTCATAAATTAATAACTCAAAATTAACAATATTCAATAAATTTGCAATTAGTTAGTTTGCAAAATAGTTAGTAAATATTTAAAGAAACATTTTATATAACAGCAATTTTAACAAATAGCTTTAATGATTTTTATAAATTGTCTTGGTGTAATCCACATAACAATATGCTATTTGCATTGATCTTTGAAGAATAGTACAAAACAATCCATTCATCTCTAGTCGTTAAAGTAATTACTGAACGTTCTACTAATTCATACATTATCAAAATATAATATATTTGAATTACATAAAATATTTAGATCAAATAAGACATGATTAAACAGGGAGCCACTATACATATATTCTTCCCGCGGAAATCGTTTCATTACATCATTCGACATATCAATTAGATTTCTCATTTTACTGACTTGAATTTTTGCTGCAATTCATATTTTCTTACCATACATGTCTACGTTATATACGTATATCAGTGTAAAAATTTCTTAGAACGCAGAGACGGCCTGATAAAATAAATCACTATGCATCTGTTTACGTAGAAAATTTGGCTGAAATGAAAGACACTGGTGTGCCATCGCAGGATTAATGATTAACAAATTATACATTGACTTAAGAACCTATCCTAGAAGCCATGTCGTGTATGTATACGAAAAGTTTCTTAAGCGTCATGGATGCCTAGGTGAAAATACGCCATCAGTGAAATAATCGTAAAATAAAGTAATATTTTATTAACAAGTACACACTCACCTTTGGATCTTCCGAATTGTTACTATTGTCTCCGTCACTAGCGTAATTCGCTAACGAATCCATAATGGCGTGAAAACGAGGCACGAACTTTCCGAAATTGTTACGACTATCGCGACGCGTCGATCCTAGGCTGCCTTGCGCAGGAACGCCATTGGTCGAGAGTCGAAAGAGAATGTTTAACAAGCGTGTATTTATGCTTTCATAGCGCCTCCATCGAATAAGGTTACCGAGACGGATATGGAAGAAGAGAGATACAGGAAATGCAGGACGAGCGGGGAAATTAGGCGCGAACCTAAAAATCTTCGCACAATTTTTTACCAATTAGTAGCCAATTGATTCAATATTGCGTCACTACATTTACATATATATATACATATATATATATAAACAGCAGTAGTTAAATGTAGCGCCATAGATACAGCAATATATATATATATATATATATATATATATGTATTGTATTATACATTATATATATATATATATGTATCTATGTATCATAATATTACATATGTATAATGTTATATACATTTCCATTGGATCAAAAATACATTCTATTATAACAATTACGAAAGATAAACAAAAATGACAGTTTTTATTTATGGTAAAAAATAAATTAGAATAAATATTTTTAGAATTGAAAATAATATTACAAACCTTTTATTAAAATGATCATCAATTTCAATGCTGCATGCACCGCCCTATACAATTAAGTTAAACAGGTACGAGCTGTCCGTGAACCAGATGCTAATTAATTCTATAATAGTAATGATTCCTCTGTCACTTAATATAGTCGGTACACCTTAAAACAGTTATGCAGCATGCCAAATATATTCTGAGATTTTACAAACAATTCTTAAATCATTTTTAAAATATACTAGCTTTATACAATGGCTACAAAAAGTATTTCCACATATTTCTATTTTCCAATAAAATGATTTTGTACCAAGTATTATATTTCATTTTCATAACCATATATAGATATAGATTGTGGATTTTTATGCATTTATGGGAAATTTGAAAAATGCACACAATGTATATGATATGCAAAAATATACAAAATACATATTACATTTGGTAAACGAAATAAATTTCTATCTTTTTAGTTATTTTCATAAAAATATAAAAATACATAAAAATTTGCATTTTAATCGTACGTACATATAAAATATTACTATGCTATATTATGTAATACGGAATTTAATATTAATTAATGTGAAATGTAAATACTACAATAAATAAAGTAGTATACAAAACATTTCTTCTAATTTTCACCATATAAAAGCAATCAGATAATTAACCTCTTATAAAATACAAGTTTTTATTTAAATTTATATGTTTTTAAACAACCAATCTACCTTGCACATTAAAATTTTATCCACATGCTTTGTTAAATAAAACAATCTACATAAATCCATAGAAAATCTTCGTCGTACACAACAATACTATATTGACAACAAAGGAACTCTCCCCGCACAGGAACAGTAATAAAAACTTAACTCGCGGTGGTATCTTTATTTACAAACGAATTCCATCGCTTGACAGCATAACCAGGGATATGCCGAAGGTGCACGAAAGGTATTGCAAAGGTGGGCTGATGCTAGAGAGCACTCGCATTGACGTTTACGCGCGGAGAAGCGCGAGCCGGTGTGCAAGGGAGTCGTGGTCGTGGAACAAACCGGGACGCAACAGTCGCTCACCAGACTTCGTACTGGAACCATCGTGGAAGGTATCATTTCGCTCTTTCGTGACATTTCATGATTCAAGCCTGGGATACCTGTTACGAACCTCATCAAACGGAACGATATCTTGATAGAGTTAAGCTGTCCGGGGTGAGTGATTCCATTCACGTTTTCTTTCATTACGATCGCGGAAAACTCGGTAGCCCGGGCAACAACCCTTCGATACACCGATCGAAGTATCTCGGTACACGCGTACGGCGACCGTTGATTCTCTCGTTCCACTCGGATCTATGTGACCCCGTTTTCATCTTAAATCATAGTCAATTGTTTTTAACGGACGACATCCTCCGTGGCGAATTTTTCGCCCACTATCGTGGCCCTTAAACACAGGTTTTCTACGTGTTTTTACACGATCTTCTGCTAGTTATCCAATTGTGAACCCAGAACATGGTTTAACTAATAGAAGTGTGACGAGCGTATGATTTATGTGTACGTATTTCCTCGTTTCACACGTGTGATTGGTTTTAACCAGTTAATGACTGATTTCTGTAAAAAGAATGTGTAATTATGTTATTATCGATTTTGGTACACTTTAGTGATGTGCTTGATGGTATGTCATAACTGGAAGTACAGAAATTTATGCGTACATAGTATATTATAAATATGTATAATAATATTACGCAATGTATAGTGGAGGACAAAAGAATATATGAAAATCGCCATAATTTTAGACAACAGAGTTATAATTGACGAGAACAATTAAATTGTGACGTATATATGTGGAATAAATGACTATTACCAGCATGGTAAAAAATTTAGAACAAAGTTAGCATTAATGTACTGTGATTATTATACACAAGTGTGACTTTTTCTTTTGTCCGTCATTGTATACCATCGTACATACATATATAGTATCATATTTATGTATTTATTGCCCCACCATGATGAATTTTCATTCCTTCAGTAAAGAAGTGCACTGATCGTCTTCTTTTTTCGTTACTTAATCAATTTATCTAAAATACATAATAAAGAGAATATAATAATAATGATTATAAGCTTAAATCCTGGACTCAAAAATTATCTAATTATTTTACATTCAATTATCAACTTATATAATATATTGGGTAAGAAATACGATACATTTTTCTTTAGGTAACTTCAATTGTTTACGATTATGACAATTATCCCGCCTTGGGTTTCGGTACAATAATCATAATTTGTGCAAGTCCATTTCGAATCGATTCGCGATAATTCGATTGAAATTCTACATAGCATTTCATTACGTACTGGTGAAATCGTACGAGTGAGTTTGATTAGGTTACAAGGAGAACTGTACTAGCTTCCACGTACGGCATTCATATTGTTTATAATCACTTTTTTCTGTCACGAGTACACACGAGCATGCCTTTACTCATTTACGTACAAGTCATAGGAGTCACGAGTTGATGATTTCTTATCGATCGAAATTTCCATAATGCTTAATGGCAGAGATTGCTCGATAACCAAACTAAGGATATTTATGCAATTTCATAACAAGAGACAAAAGAATAAAAAATTACGATGATTTTGATTGCGAGTAATTTAATCGAGACTCTCTTGGATAGCTGGATATTTAATAAGAGTATGACTTGCCGAGTTACCAACGATACGAATAACAATGAGCCGACATTATGAATAACGTGTATCAAAATGTCCATGAAAATGATCCTGCAAATACATTTGTTCTGCACGTGTTATTCTTTTTTAAGCTATGATGAAGTCTCACATTTATTTTCTCCTTTTATATATTCATGTTCTTTCTGAAACAGACATTTTATTGGAATTAATTTATAAAATCAATAAGAATAAAGAAATTAGTAAGTACAAAGAACAGTAAATACTGAATTAGGTTATAAATACCTTACTTGTAAATAAGGTTAAGTTGGTATCTTTTTTAATTTATTTCTTCTTTTTATCTCATGGGGTTAGGTTATTTACGTCTTTCTGTGATCCTTAAATCGACTGATGCGTCAAAACTATTGTAATTATAGCGTGAAACGTATCAGTTAACAGAATTCGTAGAAACCAGTTCCATTCTTTTTATAAAGATGATATCGTGGTCGATATTTATTCGTTCTAATTGAATCTTTGCGCTATAACGATGCAAATAGCATGTCACATTGAATCACTTGGGATACATCTTTAGAAAATTGTATACATACAGTGCTATCGGCAATATCAACATATGTAGAAGTAATTAGTAACGTTACTATAATTACAGTTTCACATCGATAACAATCGATTCTATTTCTAAAACATGCGGACTTACAGAAGAAAACTTCATTCTACATTTTCAACGTATTTTCTCATGTAGACCAATCCCCTGCCGATTGTCTGCTTCTGCATAGTTAAGAGTAGACAAAGTCCACGTATACATGATACCTATAATTCACGCTCAATCTTTTAAATAATTTGATGTATTTGGTTATTCTTGATTTTCGACATATTTTGAGTCATAGAATCTCGAATATAGGACTACGGGGTTACGTCTCATGTGAAGGAGATTTGTTCGACAGAAGTTGAAATTCGATCGCGTCGTTAATAGTGGCGGAAGTTGAGAATTTCGAAACGAAATTTAAAAAAAGAGCCGCCACTAGTCTCGCTTCTTTGTTCTCTTGAAATTACGTTCTAACCTTTGTGATTTCGTATCGACCGCGGAGGGGAGTATATTCGGTTCCAACAGATGAAAAAGTCGCTTTAGGGACACGCTGGAGGACCATCAAGTTCCTCGTCACGGAAATCGTCAGAAATATCAAGGACAGAAAACACGAGCCGCCGCGACCAGCCGGAAATTAATTTAAAAAATGCGATTATCGTAGGAAAAATTATTCCGTTCCTCGAGACCGACGCCGGCAGCCACGTTCGACGGTTATTAATTAAATCTGGCTTACGCCATTGAACTTTTTGTCAATACCTTTCCCGTTAATTACGGGTCAGTTGTATCGAGCCGACTTTACTCTTACATTACGCCGTAACACCAAGTCGGATATCGTGAAATTTGTAAAAATACCGCTGTGGAATGTTCCAGTCTTGTTAGTAGGAATTATTAAATTCATGGAAATTTTATATCCGAGAACATCGAGTCGAAGAGGGTAACTGTGTTATCGTTACGCACGAATTTACAGTAGCTCGAGAGCAGACAATGGTTTTTGTGGAGAAATGAATAATACAGGGATTTACATTGAAAATCGTTCGATATAGTTAGAATATAATAACGAATTCTTGCAACGAATTTGAATAAAATAATAGCAAAGACTAATTGATTGCATTTAAAAATACTTACTAATAGCATCGATACCCAGAGGACTGTGTTATATTTTATTCATTGTCGAAGTGAGAGACAAAGATATTTGTAGTTGGAATATAGGAGTCAGAGGAGGAGTAAATATTCTCTATATTGTTAAATATATTTAAATATTTATTCTTTTGCGTTTCAAATAAGATGTTATTATTTGTTATGAGGTGAACATATATAGTTGTTTAATATTTTATATTTTATTGATTGTTATACGTGTAGTGAATTGGAGGTTTTAAGATAAACCAAACAATTAAAGAATGTAATATAATGTAAAACCGAAAATTCGCACAAATTCCGAGAGAGAAGGACTAAGTAAAATAAATAAAATAAAGAATAACAAACATATTTAAATATATATAATGTGATACATATAATGGTAACATTTCGTCGAGACAGGAATATTTATACAATACCATTAATTAATACCATTAATTAATGTATAATAAGTATTATTCCGAATAACTGCATCCAATTTAATTAAATTTTTAAGGAAATTTGGTTCTGCATCTTCTCAATCTGTTCCCAAAATTTTCTTAAGATCCTCTTTTAAATATCATATACTATTTGCGGTTTAATCTCTGAAAATATTTCTGTGTTTTATTTCTGCAGTAAACCAATTGTACGAGTAGTATTATCCCCTACTAATGAGAAATTTGTTTTGCTATAGACTTAAATGAACATGGTTTCGAGCTTTTTGTATTTTTAATTTTCCCTAAACATGAAAATTTTATCACGCAGTTCGGAAGGTTTTCAACGCAAGAAAATGAAAAACTAAATAATTACGAACTTGCAACCGACACACTTGGATTAAAATCGTTCTCGTTTTATTTGAGCGCGCGTGTATACGATCTCTCGGAGGTAAGGATATAAAAAAAGAATATATTTTATCGAACGAGCGCGTAATAGGGAAACTTTTATTAAACTTTTTCTTTAAAATATTTGTGGAGCAACTTATTAAACTCTCTTTTCAAACTGGTGCAAGTCTGAAGAGTTGTTTATTCGAGACCATCCCGACTTTCAGGGAATTCTTAATTCACGTCTCTTATACCTGCTACTAAAAGTGTAGGTCCTATTGGCTGGACACTTTAAATGTTTCTTCTAGCCGCCTTTGTTCCTTTCTTCCGGTTGTTGCCCGTGCTACCGGAAGAAAAGGAGATCTTGAAGCTTCGTCTTATTTATCAATAACATTTTCTTTCAAGTGTGTAATTCAATTATTATAATTAGTTATTATCGTTCTTCTCGCATCTATACGACCCGAAATAAAAATTATATTTCGATGGAAATATTAAATATTATCAAAATATAGATAATACTATATTAAATACTTGCTTTTCGTATTTAACACTTCATGGAAATGAAGAAAAATTCTATTCTTGTTTGATTCTTTCATCCCCTTTAAAATTTTCAGGTTACCTAGTCGTAATACTAAAATATTGAAGGCATTAAAAGTATCGACCGTCGTAAATAATTATACCTTCTGCATGTTTAGTCGTTTGCTTATAGATGACTATAATAATTTACGTTAGATTACCAAAATTCCAGGTATTTAATTTTATTTTATACTTTGCTTCCTCCGTAATAGAAATCGTTAGTAAAGTTCAATTGCATTAAAAGTTCCAAAACTGAGTAGTCTAATCCTAAATTGTCATGATACCCAGTAGCTTAACGACACACCAGTCGAAAGACTTAAAATCACATAATGTAAGTTTAACAAGGTCCAGCCACTACAGGCGTTAATTATCTCTTATATCCTCAGTGATAGGTCGAGTTGGCTGAGATCTAATTTCCGCTTAAACGGTCAGAGATATCGAATCCGTCGTAAGACGATGTACGTAATTTCTCAGATAGATGAAGACGAGCGTAGTCGCGTATCGACTACCGTTACCTATCAAAAACGCTCTACAAGAACAGTACGGTAAAATTCATTGTGCTCGAAGGCGTTGAGCGAACGTGATTTTACTTTTACCGTCGCGTGAGGGATGTAATCTTCGATCGAAGAAATTCTCTGTGAGTCCGGATTCGTTCGGATGACGATACACTATACGGGTTTCTTCCTCGTTTCTTTCCATCGTTGGTCGTCTTTCTCCTTATGCCTGTCCCGTTTTCTCGCTCGAACTCGCACGCGCAACGAGGAAGACTCGAGCATCGGCATGGTTCCGTTATCCGTGGTAAATACACGTCGAGCATCCTATACGTTTTGCCTCCGGTGAAAATAAACAATGTACGCGGCAGCGTACGTTACTGATCCGATCCATGCACACTATTGCACACACGGTGTGCGGTAAATCCAAGATTTCACCCGGAAATATAATAAGGTAGGATCGTTCGAGTCACTTAAGCTTCGACATTTTAACATTTAATATCGAACTTTGCGAACAATGACGAAATTTGTAGTTGTTTACGAAGGTATTCGAGCGCTTGTACCTTTCGCGAATACATCGTGCGTCCTATACGAAACATTTTGAAGTTTCATTAGCACTGTAACGAGATTCGACTGTTTTCGATTATATCAACGAAGTTTGAAATAAATGTGAAAATGTGTATATATGTATATTTGTAAAAGTTGCAAGATATTTATACGAAAAATGGTCTTATTAGGTTGTCCTAAAAATTTCTGTCATTTTGTAAGGAAATAACAGATGCGCGTCATTTTTTGTTTTATATTATTTTATTGAATTACGTATGATCCATTTTGTTTTATTACTACGAAATACTGTGCATCTATTATTTTCTTATAAAACGAAAGAAATTTTTGGAACAATGTAATACATATTAATAAGCTACGATATTTAATAGGATTATCTTTAGCAATAATTGTATGTCTAAGACCACTTTTCGTATAAATATCTTGCAACTTCTACAAGTATACATATATATACATTTTCAGATTTGTTTCAAATTTTACCATAAAAGGAATGCGAATTGCATTCATGGATTCGAGAGTCCTCCTTGTACTAACTTCGAGTACTATTCATCTTCCTATGATTATACAAGAACGTTTTAATATGCAAGATCATATGTTAGCAATTGTCAGAGAAGATATTGATTATTCCAACGTACTCTAACTATATTTTTCAACTATTTCTCGATGATAGACACGTAAGTATTTCGTAATGGAATCGATAAAATTCTAATTGAAGTCGTAAATCAGCGGCAACGATAACAGATTTGGGATCTATTCTCTCAAGGTCGTTTATTTATAGAAAAGCATAATAAAGGTGGCTGGAATATTTCAAGTTGGCTTGATTATATCGAGGAACTTGGTAAAATCAATCGAATAGCTAGCTATTGTGGGAAGCGCGTATAAGGAAAAGGACATAGTTTGATGCAGTTCGACAATAAACTTCATTCAAAAGCGGAAGTTCGTTTTCAAGTGGAACAATACCAGTAACCATATGTATCACTTTTATGCCAGCAAGTATCTGTAAACATACAACTTTTTAAATTAAATTACCTCACAGTGGCTGTGCGAAAGTACGACTATTTGAACACTTATCATAGAGAACTTTGACGAATATGCTTATTATACAAAACTTCTTGAAATTTCGTTACCACTGTAATGGAACACGTCTATCTTGATCGTATTGATAAAATTTGAAATAGCTTGAAATTTTCACCGTGACATATAATTAAAAAGTTGAAGAGAACGCGAAGATAAAAAATTTGTTAAGCAACAAGATGCTTCTATAGGGTTTGACAATTACAAATTCCAGTTTTATTGTTGTATATCAATCCTAAAATAATCAATTTGATCGGTTTATAATATGCTATTATACGTAGCTGTGCTACAAAGGGTACAATCGTTGCAGTTTGATAGAAACTTCCATTTCAAATATTCTCCTCTACCACCCCAAGCGAATTTCCTGTCAAGCTACGAACGCAATATAATCTCACTGCTCTCGTAACGCACCCTTTACACCATGTATAGACGACTATGCATGTACACGAATCCAAATTGCTTTGAGCAACAGTTACGATATTAGACCTCGAACGTAGTAGCTTGGATCCTTCTCAGGAGCCACAGGATCCACGTTCATTAGCGGCAAGGAAGATGTAGAACAGCGATACCAGACCTTAAAATCCTCGGCACAGACTAACACCATAAACACGATATTCGTCTCTCTATCCGGAATAACTGAACGACTGGTTTATCCTTGAGACCAGCGAAAGCTCTACTGAAACACGTAAACCGAGATCGAGCACGGTGGATCCGTTTGTCGAGCTCGGGAATCTATAGCGAGTGATGACGTTAGACGGAGGCGACGAGAGGTTGCTTTTCTTTTCGCTTCGTACACGGCTAGACGAACAAGAGTGAGAAAGAAAGAGCGAGAGAGAAAGAGAAGCACTAGTCGAGACAGATTTTACGATCGATTCGAATTACTCATTCGTGCTGTTGCACGACTCAACGCCTAATTCAACCCTATCATCTCGCAACTCCTCACCCCTGGACCACGGTTCCCTTTCTCTCTTCTCACCCCTCATCGGTGTTTCCCGCAACCCTTCGTCGATGCAAGAAACTACAGCCAGGGCTTTCGAGAGTATATTATGCAGATATGACAAGTACCGCTGCGACGTCTCCCTACATGGCGATTACACGTTTGATGCCCCTAGTTTTCAACGCAGCTGTTGCACGGCTGGCTTCCCGAGCATTGCCATAATCCTTCCGCGGATTTACATAGCAGCTCCAGCGAGTTCCTGATTACTGAGCTTTTAAGCGCGAGATGTGGTATTTGTCGATTGCCTGATTGTGTATGAAGACGATGGGATCGTTTAATTTTGATTATGAGTTCATTTCATTTGGAAAGTGTTTACAGATATTTGGATTCTATGGGGTAATTTAATTCGAAATGTTGAAGTCTTTACGGATATTTGGTGATACATATGTGTAAAGGTGTATAAAACGATTACCGCTGGTTCATTCGAAGGTAATGGAATTATCGGTAGTGTTACCGTATTTCAAAACGATGAATTACAGCTGTTTAGAAAAGTAGTCGAACGTTTAGTATAATCAAAAGGTACACGAATAGAGTTAATCGGATCGATCGTCACGATAAAAGTAAATTACAAAACTCGTTTAACGAATGTCTGACGAAATTATTCGTACACGCGATATAATATCGAAATTAAAAATCAGAGAACTTTAGAATTTCCGGTGGAAGCGAACTGCTTGCATCTCTCGTTATCTGGAAGATTTATGTAACGCTCGAAGTTCCGCCGACGTTGTAAATTCTTAATAGCGGGTTAATGAACAGTGGCGATTGTTTCTCCGGAGGTAACAAGCTTGAACAACATATAATTATCGTGTAACGTCTCGGCATATATTAATTAACACTTTCAATGCCATCAATACTTCAATGCCGGACTATGTTTAATATTTAGCTAAAACAACAATCATTAGACATGTCGTAAGTTTATTAATAAGAATTTCTCACAGTTTGAAGCTTTAAAAGTTCTAGAATTATAAAAATACATTCTCAGGTGTAAATTTTGTTTTATTAAAAAATGGCTTAAAATCGGTTATCTTTATCAGAGATGATAAATTATAAATATGTTACAAACTTATTAAAAATAATTCCTCGGTTTTCTAAACTTGAAAATCTCACGATTACAAGTCCTAAATTTTTAAATGTGAACCCTGTTCCGTTAAAAATAATTTTCACTGAATTGCTTCTGCTAGAAACGCTCTGGACTATCATTGCTATTAATTAACCAGCAGTAAATTAAAGATTAGGGAATAAATATATGGTGGGACACACGTGGATAACACCTGCACGCAATGGTGACCCTTCTGTGAGAAATATCATGCGTGTCCTTCCGCCCACGCTTCGCCCTAACACGACAACTTCAAGCTTCGGAATTGGGTTAATGAAATCATGGAAGCGGAAGGCCCGACAGTTCAGCCTCGTGCAGTGCTGTTAACTCTAAAGACTTAACATCGAACAAATTACCGTTGTCAAGGCTCCCTTACAAAAATAGCGTCTGAAATAATTTCGATTTTATTTCATATTTTTGTTCCCAAGCTTGACAGTTACAACACGCATTGCAATCTAATTTACATACAGAGCGTTCCAGGTTGTTGCAGTCAAAACTCTTCGGTATATTTTATGAGTATAGATCAGAAAAGGATATATTGTGTAAATATACTATATTTTGAAATATTTCATTTGACATACGAAATTTAAAGTCTTAAATTAAACTTGCAACTTTGAAAATTTTACTAATAATATTAGTTGAAATGTACGGGAGCATACAAGAGCACAAGCTTTAAAAGATCTATTTTTATGTAACATTTTTTTCCGATATGTACCCGTAAAATATATTGAGAAGGTTTGACAAACCTGGGATCTTCACATTGTGTATGTAAATAAAAAAAAATATTTCTACGTATCGATCCATTAATGTGACTGAAAACGTGTATTTTATAAAAGTACAAATAAACGTATTTTACGTAACTACAGAAATATGTAAAACATCAAAAAATGTACGTCTAGAATGGAACGTAATGAAAATTCGAAATTGCGTTCGCATTGAACGACAGTCTGAACAATAGTCTGAGTGCTGATCTAACAGAGTTCCGGTAGAGCACCAGGAAACCCCGTTGAACGTAGCGATATTCAGATTCCGAGTGAAAAAGTCATTTTCCTGGCTGGTGTTCTTGCACTGGTAAGACGTGCCATTACGAGATTGGACAACCGACAGACAGGGATGAATATGAATATCTATTGCGTGCTCTCTTGCAAAGATAATGGGTCGAACGAAGAGCACGAGTAAACGGCGATTTCCTGTTCGAGACAGGAAGTCGCTTTCTTTTACGATCCTTGAAAATCGTCGATGAGGAATGCGACGACTCTTCGTAAATATTACTGTAATTATTTGATCAACTTCGATGGATGTTTAAAGTGTCCCTTTATAACTCATAACTTCTTCTTTCTCTTTAAATTTTCGAATAAAATATATGCGAAAGATGACACGAGAATATTATAAATTTTGTTTTATCGGCTTTGCAATGATTCTCGGATTTTTATATCTCGGACTTTTCGGTTTAAGAAACAAAGAGGATTTGCCTTTTTTTAAAAAAGGATAACGTTTTAAGAAGATTCGACATGAAATTGAAACAGAAAGTCAGGCATAACAATAAGAACTTTCTCACCTTTTATCGAGGTATGTGAGATATTTTTTGCTACTAGGGAAATACAATTAGGTCGTAAACGACCGTAGAGACGCAGCAGGGTTAATATTACAGAAGATTCTTATGCGTAGAATATGATATAATCTTGTTAAAGAGTTAGTGAAGTTTTTTTTCAACGTGTATTTTACGAACAACGTTTTTCTTAATTATCCATGGTACGCAAGATTTATGTGAAAAAATTTAATTAATCCTGAATATTTATTGCCACGGTGTATGCTCCGTACCTTTCTGTGCAAAGAAAATTTTAAGGGAATGCGTGAAACGTGGCGACGCAATTAGGGAGACAATGTGAGAAATTTATCTGACAATAATGATAGCCCGCTGCAAGATTGTTAAAAAATTCACCCTCTTAAAAGCTCGAAGCTTCTAG